TAAGGGTCGAAAGTACAATAAGCTTATATCGATTTTGATATGCAGATTATGCATTACTTGATTTGGAAATCGGTGATCGTCAAATATTTACTAAGTATTTGACTATCAAATAATTATTTAATTGTACCAAGCACTAGTTGGATCTGTAGTATATAGAGTATATATGTTTTTCAAAATGCTGAATAGTCAACAAAACCTATTCTTTATTATAATCAATCCTGGCCATAATTGAACCCTTACAATTGAATCTTTGAATTGCAAATTTAGCTTCACTGATGTGCTTAACTGGCTGGTCTTTTGATTACTTGAGTCAATGTTCTCTTTGTTGGCTGCAGTAAAGATAATATATCATACATCTCTTTTGCTGACTATTTTTAGTATGTAAATAGAAATATCCAATCATCCAATTATATCCAGAAAATCTTTCAAGAGGATCAAGAAAACCATTAAGAATATGTTAATAGGTTCTCTTTTCATTGAATGCAATCTAAGTACTAGTAGAATATATAATTGTCTCTCTGATAAGATTGGAGTCCAAAGCAACTTTCACAGAAAACTTTACAATTTTATCTTTGGCTTCATAATCACGAAACTGTGAGATTATTACTTTTTCCAGATCTTCAATCTCATACAATAATCCATTATATTTTTCTTCCGAATCATTAGCCATATTTTCATGATTATTTTCTGCATTGCTGTTAGAGGACATTATTTCATTGGAAGATATAGCTTGATTTTTATATCTTTTTTCAGTACATATATTGCACACAGAAAAGATTTTTGTTTGGCTTACTTACACTCAAGTAAATTCTCCAATCAACCTATTACATCAACATCAAGTACATCTTTTCTTCTCAACGTTACTAACAACTAAAAAAAAGAATTTCTGTTCAGATCTGACATGGATTTCCATTCGACTTGTAAAATATTTCTAATACTATTAACATACCATTAATTTCATTATTTATAACTGACATTTTATTTTTAGAAAGTAATTTGACAAGGTTGTGGAATTCTTATGTAAATCATAATATTTGATCTTTAGCAAAATTTTGATGCGTCATGTCGTGTCTTGTCACGTTATTATGTTACACATTGTAATACAGGTAAATATTATATTTAGCAAAATCTGTGAAAAACAGAGGATTATATAAGCTAATTTTATTTATTTTAGGAGTCGTTAGTATTGTTACAGCTGTAATTAGGCAAATTCGATATTATTTGAAGATTTAATTGGGAAAGGGAATGACTTCAGTTCTTGGTTTATCATTTGGATTCCTGGTGGTAGTGAATAATTACCGGCATAGTGAGAACTTTTCTGACCGGAAATACTGTATATTTCCATCTCTATCAGGTAATCCAAGCTTTCTTCACCATTGGATTATCTTCATGTTTTGTATCAGTGAGTAATTTTTCCGCTTATGCAATTTTTTTTAAGTGCTTTGATCAATCCAAAATCAAAGTCTAACTATTTCTTCTGGATAACAATAATTGTAATTAGCTCAAGTCTGAGAAAGTAAGCAAGAGCGAGCGAGTAGACAAGTGAGAAGTGAGAGTGAACAAGTTAATAGCAATCAAGTGGGCAATCTTATAAGTAATCGAACAAGCAATCAAGAAGATACTGTAATTGAATCAATAAGATAAAGCGAGAATTTAATAAGTCTTATTTTATTTAAATATTCTTGATATTTAAATTATTCTTGAGTTACATTATAAATAAAAAAAACAAAACGCAAGTTTATTCTTTATGTTTAAATTATTCTTGAGTTACATTATAAATAAAAAAAACAAAACGCAAGTTATTCTTTATGTTTAAATTATTCTTGAGTTACATTATAAATAAAAAATAAAATGTAAGTTTATTCTTAAAGTTCAAATTATTCTTTAATTACGGTGTAAATAAAAAAACAAAGTGTTAAGTTTATTATTCTCGAATTGTAAATAAATAATAAATGCATGACATTCACGTTCTAACCTTAAAGGTATCAGGGGCTGACTCCAGGAACTCCGGAAAGACAGAATGTGATCGGAAATCACATGATCTGTCATTTTTTATCTGTTACTAAACTTTTCATGTGTGATGTAATCGTACAACCTGTGGATTGATACTATAAATTCTAAATCTGATTGTCATCAGCATTTTCTTTGTGAAAAGTCTTTTTTCGTTGTACGTTGCATCAGATTTTGAGGTTGAACTAAATGCGCCTATATGTGTCACAGTTTCATGTTCGTGCGGACACACAATCCAATCATCGTTTTTCGTACAATCCGTGTGAATGAAAAAAGATGCGCGATTCCGCACTTTTGGAATGCACGACTCCGAAAAATATATTATAAATATGATTGTATGGAATAATAAAAAACATAAACGCAATGGGATGGATTGATCCTCGTGAGATTCAATTTGGTAAACAATTGGGTCAGGGTGCTTTTAAAACCACTTATTATGGAACTTATAAAAAAATACCAGTTGCTATTGGAATGTTAAATCATAATGTTGATCGAAATGATTTTGAACGCGAAATTTATATTCTTAAGAATTTAAACCATGAAAACGTTATAAAGTTTATTGGGACGTTAATGTGGTCTCGCGATGCTCACAATGCGAGATGTTGTATCGTTACTGAATATTGTGATCGCGGAGATTTACTAAATTTTATGAAAAAGAATGGGGGTCACGGTTTAAAGGTAATTTTATTTTATTTAAATGTCGAATATTCAGTAACAAAATATTCCAGGCAGGCGACCGAATTATCTTTTAATTTATTATTAATGATAGTTGAAGATAGCGAAAGGTATTGCCAATGGTATTGAGTATTTACATGCAAGATCAATTATTCATAAGGTAAATATTTATACTCGAGTAAATATTTTATTTCAATAGAATAATTATTTTTGATATTTATTAGGATTTGAAATCAGATAATATTTTGATAAAATCAAGTAATAGAAATTTTATCACAGTGAAAATTTCTGATTTTGGAGTTTCAAGAATTAAATCAAATATTGAAATGATGATGTCTACAAGAGGTGCTTTATATTGGAAAGCTCCAGAAATATTAGGTCGTAACCTTGCGCGTTACAATGAAAAGGTAAAAATTAAAACATAATTTTATTTATTGCGTTAAATATAAATTCATCGTAAGTTTATTAATAGATCGATATTTATTCGGCTGGGCTTGTTTTCTGGGAAATTTTTACTTGGGGAAGGGAAGGATTTCCTTATTCCAATCTTAGGTTTATTAATGAAGAACATTTTCGCAGATTCATTGAACGAGGTAATCGACCATCTGTAAATCTTTTAATACAAAATAACATAGGGAATTCTATAATTGGATTAATTCAAAAAATGTGGGAAACTAAACCAGAAAAAAGGCCAAGTATAAGACACGTAGTAACGACTTTATCCACGCTTCAGAGTAGTCATGCTAGGAGATAGAAATTTTATTAAAATTTAGTTTATTTTTTAATTATATGAATAAATATATATTTAGTTCAACCACTAAAATATTTGTTGCGTAAGGTGTGAGAAGGTTTTATTAGCTTGTATACCGTTCAAAAAATAAGCATGTAGCATTTTTCCATGTATTAATGTTTTCTATTGTTGCTTTAATAAAATATTTTACGTAAATAAGTGGTCCGATCTAGATCTACCAAAGGAAATAATGGAAAGCTGTCCTCCCGAAAAAATCATTTTTGAGGACGAACATTTTGTTCGCTGAAATCGGTCACGTGAATTTATAAAGAATTAAATATACGAGTATTTTACATAAAATTGGCAGATACAATCTAAAATCGATTAATTAGAAGAACAAATTTCAGAGCTTATAGCTGAGAATACTGAACTTAAAATGGAGAAGGCTGAATTATCGGCTAAGGAAGCGGGACTTATAGTTAGAATTGCAGAATTAGAACAACCTGTATTTTCATTTGCGGAGAATGCAAAATTAAGAGATGTCGAGCTCAACGAGCTTAGATCCAGAGTTTCGAAAATGATGAAAAAGCGAGACAAAGTAAGGATGCTCTGGCCGGCATCAGATATAACTTATAATACTTCAAATTCCAATGAATCCAATAATGTTCCAAATCTTGATATACAGTGTGAGTCATAATTTTTTAGAATTGGTTTTTTTAATATAACTCTATTAATAATTATTTAAATATTATAA